ACCAGCAATCCAGCCGGCCTCGCCTCCATCGCCGGATACACCGCCCACGACGCCATCACCATCTGCACCCCCGCCGCAATCGCCGCACCGTACGGCGCCTCGTCCACGCGCCGCAGCGTCTCCAGCCCCAGATCAATCACCACCGGCACCAGATCCGTATTCTCGTCCGCAGCCGCCGCCCCCAGACCGGGGAAGTGCTTCGCAGTCGCAACCACTCCGTTGCTCTGCTGCGCGGAGATGAACGCGCCGCCGCACGCAGCCACCAGCGACGAGGTATTCCCGTACGACCGGCCGTACTGGTCCTCGAAGTCCCCGGGGGAGCGGTACACGTCCAGCACGGGCGCGAGATTCACGTTCACGCCGGACTCGGTCAGCGTTGCTGCTGCTTCCCTGCCTGTCTGCGCGGCTGCTGCAGCTGGGTCGGGGGACTGGCCGACTTGTTTCGCGGAGAGGGTTGGGCCTCCTGGGAGACGGCGGACGTTGCCGCCTTCTTGGTCGGTCATGATGAGCAGGGGGGTGCCGTTGTAGGATGGGGACGAGGCGTAAGTGTTTTGGAGGGTGGCGAGGGTGGTGGGGAGGTTGGCGTCGACGTTTTCGCCGAAGAGGATCAGGCCGCCTACTTTGCCGGCTGCGATGAGGGAGAGGAGGGATGAGGGGGGGGAGGGGCCTGGGTAGGAGTAGATGACATGTGTGGCGGCTTTGATGGTGTTGGTTGCGCTGGCGTTTGCAGTGCAGACTGCGCCGAGGTAGAGGAGGGTTGAGAGTTTCATTTTGGGGTTGTTGATGGTCTGGAGAAGCCTGTCGAATGCTGGACTGGATATATAGGCTTGAGCTCGCCAAATGAAGCCATTCACGGTTAGATCAGATCCGACGAGGTTGCATGATCGGCGGTTTAGTGTGTTGTTAGAGGTACATTGGCTGCTAATTGCTATACGAGATGCATAAATGAATTTCTGTCAATTGTCGAATGAGAGTACTTGCGAGCGCAGAATAATATCATTCTCTTGCCAGACGGCCAATGCGATATGGATAGCCCTAACTACCCATTCCAGCAGACAATAAGACACTACAGACAATCAGTTCTACCAGAAAACAAGGCTGTCCTCCCCGGATCCTCCGGCCAGTCCAAACCAGCAAACCTCCCAACCACATCGCGAATAACCTCATAACAAGCCCCAAACCGCACCACCCGCATCCGCTCAAAATCCACCATGGTCGAACTCGCCCGCGGCCAGCCATCCCTCACCCGTCCATAATCAACCACAATATCCGCCGCCTCGCGAACCTCCGGCTCAATCTCCTCCACCACCGTCTTCGTCCCCTGCCCCGTGAGATTCGCACTCGAGCCCAGCAACGCCATCCCCGCCGCGGCGGTCACCCGCACCAGCTCCTCCTGGAACGGCCCGCCATTGACAAGCATGGCCACCGTCCCATCCACCGAGCTCGCCGCCAGCGTCTCGGCATCGAGTTTCCGCATGAGCGGGTGATCCCCCCGGTACGGCGCAATGACACCAAGCGGGAGGTTGAGATCAACCGCGAGCAGCCGCACGAGAGCCGCGTGCTCAGCAGGGAGGACATGCAGTTCGCGGTGGAGGGCGTAGCTGCCGATCACGGCGTGGCGCTTATGCGGCTGTCGTCGTTTCGCCGTGAAGATGCGTTGCAGCGCGAGGGGGTCCGTCGCCACAATGCCGTAGCCCACGCTGGAGGGGATGATTGCGGTCCCGCCGGCCGAGAGGACGGCCAGGACGCGGGCGGCGTCGGTGGGGATATCTATACCCATTTGCATCTGCATTGCTTATCGCTATTACAAAGGGCGTAGGTGTAGGGGGTTATATGTTATATGTTATATGTCCCATACGTGGCAAGGGCACATGTACAACGTCAAGTCAATCCATTAGGCGTACTACTGAGTAACCTTGAAGACAGCACGCTCGGACTCAAACTCCCCCCGCGCCTCGCCCAGTCTCTCCAGCTGCGCGTCGGTCACTTCGTCCCGGGTGCATTCCCAGATCCCATGCCAGATGCCCTTGGCCTGGACCGCGTACTCGTGTCCTTGTTCCAGGGGCACCCGCGGAATCGTCACGGTCCGCTCCGTTGAGCTCTCGGCGGGGATCTCGACCAGATCGTCCCGGGAGGGAGGCAGCTGGCGGGTGAACTTGATCGTGTCGAGTGGGACGGGGTCGTTGGTGCTGGTATCGTTGATCTGGAAGACGCCCAGGAGGGTGGCTCTGGGGTCGAAAGGCGTGCCCCAGTTGAGGAAGGTCACTGGGGTGTTTGCCGGGTTGTGGATGGCGATGTTGATGGGGAGGCTGATGGGTTGAGCGGGTGAGGGAGGGACCGGGGAGAGTGTCACTTGGAGGTTTGCCATTCTCAGTTGAGAAGGGTTCAATGAATGTACGGAGTAACGGTGTCAACGGATGAGATGTCTCGATTGATGGAAGTTGGAGCAGGAGAGTGGAGTTTATGAGTGATGAAACCCCAAGCTTTGCATGAAGATATCCAATCCGCCAATGAGATGCACGGTGGAAGCTGCCAAGCTTTAGGGGCATATCGAGCAGGGAAATGACTGGTATACAACGAGGGGAGATGAGACAGGAAGTCTTGGGTTGCATTCGCTTCAGTCTTGAGGTATCAGCCGGATATTAAGGATTGATAAAGTGATGATCGGCGCTTTATCGATGAGTCTTCTCTCAGTCTCTTACAACCTTTAGTAATTGATTCCACTTGGTTTCACTAAATCCAGGGTCTGAGTCTATTTATGAGGCAGATCTCGAGTCTCGATCACATCGTGGTATGTCAATCAGTATGTCCACACCATAGCATAAAAGAAGTGACAGAACGAGCTGACAAGACATCAACAGCCTGAATCATGCAAATGCAACCTGAATAATCAAGATGGTCTACAGACTCGACTGGACCCGGAGATCCCTCTATCAGGCATACGGACGCCGCCGGTTGACCCTCTTCATCATCTGCAGGCCAGGATTAATCCTCTTGGCGCTTCAAATCCCGATATATCTCTTGCAGACAAGACTCACCATAGCCTGAATACAACGGTCCTCCGGCGGGCCAAGCCATCTCCCTCGCCTTCCATCTTGGCTCGCGAGGATGCTTCAATAAGCCTTGTGGAGTGGTTAGGCCGGCTTGGTAAACGCCATGGATGCACTGTGGATATCTTCAGACGACCGCGGTCTTATCTCTCGAGTCAAGACTTTGCAGACGGGATACGATGTCACCTTCTGTTTTGGTCGTCTCCGTGTTTAGCAGCTGTTCGTGATATCAATGCTTCAGTGTGTCAGGATGTCTATAAATACGAGGATGATCCCAGCGACTTTGACAGCATCGTATCAGCATCACAAGAGCAACAGCAAGAGCAACAGCATTGAACCAACCTCATCATGCAGCTCACTGTCCTCGCCTCTGCCATTCTGGCCCTCGCCCAGGGCGCCTTGGCTCTTCCTGCCAAAGCCCCAACCCTCGATGTCACCCTGAGCCAGGTCGACAATACCCGGATCAAGGCCGTGGTCAAGAACACCGGCACTGAGGAGGTCACCTTTGTGCATCTCAACTTCTTCCGCGATGCTGCCCCTGTCAAGAAGGTTTCCCTCTACCGCAATGGTAATCCCGCCCCTGCCCCTGAGGAAGACATCACTAACCGGTCTATGAAGCCACCGAGGTCGAGTTCACCGGCATCAAGCAGCGCTTCCGCACCGAGGGCCTCACCAACGAGGCCCTGACCACCCTCGCGGCCGGCGCCACCTTCGAGGACGAGTTCGACATCGCCAGCACCGCCGACCTCACCGAGGGCGGCACCGTCACCGTCCGCACCGAGGGCGTCGTCCCCGTGGCCACGGACAACAAGATCGCCGGCTACATCCCCTTCTACTCGAACGAGCTCGACGTCGAGGTCGACGCCGCAAAGGCCGCCGCCGTGCCCGCGGGCATCAAGCCCCTGGACCGTCGCACCAAGGTCGCCTCCTGCTCCGGCAGCCGCGCCACGGCCCTCGCCACGGCCCTCCGCAACGCCGCCTCGCTCGCCAGCGCCGCCGCCAGCGCCGCCGCCTCGGGCTCCTCCTCCCGCTTCGCCGAGTACTTCAAGACGACCGCCAGCAGCACCCGCAGCGTCGTCGCCGCGCGCCTGCGCGCCGTCGCCAGCGAGGCCTCGTCGCAGTCCTCCGGTGCCACCACCTACTACTGCTCCGACCCCTACGGCTACTGCGACTCCAACGTCCTGGCCTACACCCTCCCCTCGTACAACATCGTCGCCAACTGCGACATCTACTACAGCTACCTCCCGGCCCTGACGCGCTCCTGCCACGCCCAGGACCAGGCCACCACCACCCTGCACGAGTTCACCCATGCCCCTGGCGTGTACTCGCCCGGCACGGAGGACCTGGGCTATGGCTACAGTGCCGCCACGGCGCTGAGTGCTCGCGATGCGCTGAACAACGCGGATACGTATGCGCTGTTTGCCAACGGTACCTCTCTTCGTTTTCCATTTAACTTGCTTCAAACTAACATCCGACAGCCGTATACCTGAACTGCTAGTCCACGAGACAGACGAGGATGAGATAGCATTAGCAAGCATTAACCATTCATCTTAATCACTCTCCCTACGTATTCATAAACATAAACATAAACATAAGCCAAAGGCCAGGCCAAGCCAGAATCACACCCTCCGACAAATCCCCCCCACACACTTACTCCCACTATAGCAGCAGTCCGCATCCGCCTCACACAGCTGGAAATCCTCGGCGCAGGCCGGCCACTTCGGATCCGTGGGCCGGCATTTGGTCGCGGCGCAGTACCCGGAGCAGCAGGTTAGCCCCGTGCCGAAGGAGCAGTCCTCTACGTCCGTCAGCCTGATCGCAACTGGGGGAGACAAGACTTACGGTAGACAGAGAGACAGGTTGGGGCGGGGATGCAGGTTGTTAGGGTTTGGCTGTAGGTTGTGCAGGAGCTTGGAGCTGGGCAGGGAGTGCCGGCGCAGAGGTTGTTGCGGCAGCCCGGGGATGCTATTCAGGTATTTTGTTAGTACTGTCTGTATGTACTCAGTATATGAGGGTAGAGGTAGATACCTGCTGCGAGGTTGAGGAGGAAGATGGGGGTGAGGCGGGAGAGATGCATTGTGGGTTGGTTGTGCCGTGTGCGATGCTGGGTGGATAAAGGTGTAAATATATAAGTGAGTTGTCTTGACATCATGGGTATCATGAAGAGAACAGCTGACATGCTGCCGAGACTGAATCAATCCTGTTTGGTTGCGTTTCAGGGTCTTTGAGACCTGTCGAATTGGATGATTGCAAGCTCGTATAGCTTTCTTGTCCTGTCATGACATCAAATGTGTCAAAGCGGCAGTCGGGACTTGAGAGATGGCTTGAGAGATGGCTTAAGAGCTGATGGCTTGCACATTCTTGATAGACATGGATTATAATTACCTTAGTGGTTGTATGTATTGGAGGCCGGTTGCAGTAGCACAGCGGATTCCTCAATCTGTCATTATGCAAAGTCGAGCTTTATCTCTAACCAAAGATGCAAGAAGCTAGACTCCATCTCCCAGCCCTGTTCCTATTAAGAGGGCAAGAATACTGTCTCGTGCTCATCGACTATATCTTCCAAGTAACTGTCAATTACCCTTCGCAGCTCATCATCTGATAGCTGTTCGCTACCATATAGTACAACGCATAACCGGCTATTATACATATCACTTTTATCATACACCGTACACCCATCCAACAATCACGTAAATCTAAACAACCCCCGAAGCCTCTTCCCCACCC